GGCACAGCAGGTATATGCACCAGGTAATTCAGCACAGAATTTCCACCAATAGAATCCTTGATGGAAAGGTGGTTCAATAATAATACCACTTTTGGGTTGAGCACTCGACCATTCCAAAAGCCACTTGGATGCCACAACACAGAAGAAGTCCCGGGAGAAGAGCGCCCATGTTTGTGCGAGCCATCAGAGGATGAGGTGCATTGGGTACATGCAATGCGTGCCAGAGATCTGCACAGTAAGCATTTATTGGCTGGCACATGCCCGGGCTAACCTCAAATCTGTGTCAGGACATGAAAACCTGGAGTGTACCCAGAATCCTCCCTGCCAGGGGAACACACCCCTGTGACTGATACTGAGAACACATTGCTAGTCGGGGTCATTCAGGGTGACCAATACAAGTACTAAAGTTCATTGTTATTGGCAGTGCCACCAGGTATCAGGCATTGGCATGGATATGGAGCACAATTATAATCTCCGCTCTCACTATGACCCAGCACAATATTCACACACTCCATGGGGGGGAAGGGGGGGGTCACATTTGCATTATTAGTCAATTAATTATGAAATGAAGAACTGCGCTCAGCACAAGATAAGCAGCTTTTACACCAAATTCCCTACATTGTATCTGCTCAGCACAGAGTTCTTGTCACATAAATCCACAGTATCTATAATCCTCAATAGGGATCTCTGGGTTGAAGGGTAAGGAGACCTTTGGGCCCATGTTTCATGTTACACTCATATTTAGGTTGTATATTCCATAGGGACCTGCGGCTGTCAATCAACGCGTTTCGGGGCGACTCCCCTTTGTCAGGGTAATCCTGAAGAAGTGGAGCGTTACCTCCCCAAAACACATGACCGTCCCCCAGCACTGTCAGCGATATCTCCTGGTCACACAGTGCTGTGTCCCCAGGTGATGGGTTCCCTATCACATGACCATTATGATAGCCAATCACAGTGATCATAACCGGGAAGCCGAAAAAACACCCCCTGGCATTTAGGTCTCTTGAAGGTCCGGCAGGAGGCGGGTGGAAAAGGGGTTAAACCGAAGATTTTACACGATTCCCACTACACTTACACTATTATCTATTAATAAAGCAGTGAATGTGACTTTCACCAAACATTCTCTGGCAGAGAATCCCACTGTCATTTAAAACACATGGGCCCGAAAGATTCTCCTGCGGAGAATGTTTGCTAAATGTCAGATTCGCTGCTTTACAAATACAGCCTCCTCGGTGGTTTTATTTCTCACTGTGAGCAGGATTGATACAAAGTGATGAGATGCCGAGGAGATCCGTTATTATAAAGTGTATATAGATCATCGTACGATTCCACCACGGGAATACACGAGCGCTTTCACCGTTCCCCGATAGAGAGTTTCAGGGGTGAGCCCCGGAATCTGAATAATAAAACTGGAAGATCCTTTTCATAAGGAGGATCGATCACCGAGGTTATTAGATTTGTATTGATCGATATCACTTTGTATCTGTAACATTGTATTATGTTCATCACACGGGGGTTTCTCTACACGTTTGTTGTATATGTGAGTGCTGCATAGTTATTATTATTATATCATTATGTTTGGATGTGTGCAGGGGCGTAACTAGAAATCACAGGGCCCCATAGCAAAATTTTGTATGGGGCCCTGTGATTTCTAGTTACGCCCACCTGGTAACCCAAACAGCCCACCTGAGGGTGACCCTGCAGAGCCCACCATAGACTCTCTATGGTGGGCTCTGCAGGGTCTCAGACGGGCGGTCAAGCCCTCTTACCTGTCTGCTCCGATCCTCTGTCCGACTCCTTCTCCTCCATGATCGACTCCTCCGTCACTGGGCCCCGCCTCCTCGATCGCCGGGCCCCTCCCCTTCGATCGCCGGGTCCCGCCTCCTCGATCACTGCCGATGACGGGCCCAGCCACCTCCTGCGAAGCTGCTGGTTGTCACCAACTCAGCAGCGGCTGTGAAAAGGAACGGAGCGTTCCTCCTCACAGCCGCCAGTGACAGCCAGCAGCCTGGCTGTCCGAGCAAGATGCCATAGCGACCCAGGCGGCCCGCATGGCATCAGGGAGATGTCCTGGCCATACCTTAGTGACAGGTCGGTAAATTTGGGAATTTTACCTTCAGTTTAAAAACAACAGATTACTGGAGAGAGAACAATGAAACCTGAAGAGTCGGAGCCTCCAGATTGTGAATGTGTCATTGTCGGGGGCCGTGGAAACGATTCTCAGAAGTCAGGGAAGATTTCCCGTCTATGATATTTATCACATTATGTATGAGGAGTATGAGATGTGAGAAGTGACACTAAACTCCGGAGTTCAATCCCTCCGAGTCCCTGAACTCTGAGCAACAATGTATCTTATTTGTGTATCACTCGGCTGGAGATCCTCCAATCATCTCTGACACCGTCCTTCCTTCTGGAGGGGGGCTACGTCTGTTCCCCATGGTCCCTGTGTGTGTGGTAGTCACCGCTCCAAGCTCCGCCCCTCCCCCCACCCGGGATGGACTACAAACTCAGTACAAATCAGTAAACTAAACATGAGATTGTAGTCCATCCCGGGAGCGAGATTGGACTACTTTCCAACACACACAGGGACCATGGGGAACAGACGTAGCCCCCCCCCTCCAGAAGGAAGGACGGTGTCAGAGATGATTGGAGGATCTCCAGCCGAGTGACACACAAATAAGATACATTGTTGTTAAAAATAAAAAAAAGAATTATTTTACTCCCTGAACTGCAACTCCATTTATAACATTTGTATCATTTGTGTTTTCTGGATTTCTGGTGGATATTCCGTCTCTATCATGTAAAATACACCGATGATAACAATGATAGACCTTTCTTTTCTGTGTCATCTGCAGGGATCCCGTCACTGTAACATCTAAAACTGGCCACACACCTTACAACCCTCGCAAGACTTTTGTTGTGCGATGGTTGTAAGGTCATTAAAAAAACGTACGATCCGCCCATCTTGTACAATCAGATCGTAATTGTGATAATCGCAAGCCGCGCCCACTGAGAGCAGGTCTTCCGATGACCGCAATGCTGAACGGGCAGTGTGCGCTTGCGCGCACCGGCCGGTGCGACATTTATCTTTCGAACATGCCACAAACCTCGTACGATTTTCGGCTGATTTTCGAACATGCTCCAAAGACAAAATGTTGAGCGACCGTACAGTAGAAACGGTCGCACGCCTTCCACACACCTTGCGATTATCGTACAATAATCGCAAGGTGTGTGGGCACCTTTAAGGTTGTCACGATCGTCTGTTTCGCTCTCAGTCACATGACTTTAATAAAATGGGGTTTTTCACCAACATTGACCCTTCGTTATAAGGGGTCAGGTGACCTCCTACAGTGGCCCCTTGGAGCCCATACCAGTCCGTTTCTTTGTCCCCCGGCTCTCCCACGCTCTGCAGGTCCCCTTCACTTTGCAGCGCATTTTGCCCCAATAGGGACAATGACTTATCCCCCAAAAAGGATGTTGGGGGGTGGGGGGACTTATAGGGATCTGGGAGCTCTCTTTAAAACAGAGGGGCACCCAGATGTTGGCCCCTTACAAGCTGATTACGGGGTATATCCGTCCCGCTTTGTGCTCATTCGTACAAAGAGTAAAATGTAAATAAACACAAAAACACCTCCGAAAAAATCATTTCATTACAATAGAAATACAAAGAAAACCAAAATGGAAACAATGTCCCCGAAT